TAGAGATTGTTTTGGCAACTGATTTAATATATTTGTTTGTGTTTTTTTTATTGTACATTATTAACTTACTTATAATATTCTTTTAGACTTTCTTTTAGACCCCAAAACATCATTTATTTATTGATTTGTTCATTTATTTATTGCAGATAGGTACTTCATCCAAGAAGGGCAAATTCAAAGTGACTTATATACTCTACATACACTCGAACTGCAACAATAACTTTAGGCAGCAATGTCTGTTTTTATCATGATGATCCCTCAAAGCTCCTATTTGTCTCCTGTTTGTCTTAGCCCAACAAGCTGGATACCCGGTGCACTCTAACATGTCTAATTCAAACCTCAGTGGGCTCATGAATATTTTAAAGATGCCTCTCTGTGTACAGTATATAGTATAAACTGACTAACATAAGCTTAAAGCCAACACTGTAAGAGTGCTTCTCTTTTCCTGTTGTTTCTGTTTTAAAATCAACTGATTCCAAACACCTTCACTCAACACTGACTGCTGTTCTTGATGAGCTGCAGTTCTCCTAGAAGTCCTAGAAGAGACAATGAATAGATTTTTAATAGACATCTCTGGCTTTCATTACTCAAGGCTACAACTGTGTACACACTGCCTTGTTTTTGCAGTCCTCTGACAAGCTGCCTAGCAGCACTGTGGAGAAAAGCTGCTGCTTAAGTGAGAACAATTGATATTTAAGTTAACACCATGCTGAATGGGGGAACCAGGAGAGCTGTTATACTGCGAGCGTGAGCCAAAAAGAGAGTGATTATCTTTTTAGTGCCATTATTCCTTGTTTTTATGTGTTTGTTGTTTTTTTAAGGCGATAACTTAAAACTGTTGAATGTGAGTTTTTAGCCAATATTATAAAGTGTTTATGACTGCGTAGCAGGGTTATTTAAAACTTTTTTGTCTTCTTAATGTGACACAGGCTCCTTAGTTATCCCTGTATAATGCAAGCAAACAGAAATATTACAGTTACGTTAAGCTGTTAAAGTGTTTTTATCAATGTGCAACCAGAAAAATCAGTATTGCCTTAAATGTTACATAGTTGGAGCCCTAAACTAAAACTTCATTTAAACAAGGGGAGTAAGAGGTACATACGTTCTTTCATATTAAAAGAAGTGGTTCAAAAATGTTGAGAAGAGTAGTAATTAAGACAAAATGTTACCCAGTGGTTATTATTTTACAACTATACTGACAACTAATATATTAGTTCAACTTAATTGGTGACAACTGTCAGCCCGCTGCACAAAGCCATGTAAGGATAATTGAAGCTTATAGTGCAAACTGTTAGCAGTGATGACAGCTGAAGATACTTACTGAAAGCACAGTTAGCTACAGACTGGACAGCCATTAAAACGGGCTGAATTAAGACCCCTGCTTGCAGAGATTTTTTGCTGCATTATTTTACTTTCGCTTTTTGCTCTTTGGCCATAGGAGGAGATTTCTAGAAGAGGCCCCTCTCCAAACCCTTCGGTGATGGGCCATTATCTGTATAGCTACGTCTTTGGACCAGTGGCATGATAATAAAGCATCTCAATGTCAATAGTCTATTGAGAGACTCAATTGCAAAGGGCTCTTACATTACATATGTTAAGTTGTTAAGTGGGCTCAGACAAGGCTTTGGTTAGATTTTTTTCTGCCACTTTAAGGAGAGAGATGTGTTTCCAGTTGTACTGCTGTACCACTGGATCACTGTATATCCTGTATCACTGTGATAACTGGTAATCTCTTGTTATCTTACATACTAAATATGTGTCAGCTGTTTTTTGAGGATTTTTTGTATGATATACAGATACACGTTTTTGACTCATCGTCAGCTTGTGGGCGGTTATATGAATATATCCAATCAAACCAATCTCAGCAATCAAAACCGCAAAGCATAGGGGTGTGTGTTTGGATTGAAGCCAGCAAAAACGTTGTTTACATTTCCAAAGAATATTGTTCGAATTTATTTCTAGCTATATTTGCTAAGCCCCGCCCACCGTTTCGCAAATCCTGCTCACACACAGTATACCCCTTCACTCGGAAATATATCACAATACTGAAGCTAAAGACTCTCTAACTGCTGTCTCACGTTGTCTCTCAAGTTCTAAAAGACCTTTTTTACAGCAGCCATTGTGACATGAACTAGGGTAAAAACAGGTTTTACCAATGACATTAATTAAGGTTATATTCTATTTAAGGGGATTAATAGGGGGAAAAAAGATGCTGCCTTAAAGAAAATGTATCTGAAGGCTTCTCAAAACTCAGGTATGTTTCTAGTCAACTGGGGAAAATGCACATCTATCTCAGTTGGCAGAGAAGTTGTTATTCTACACCCACTGTCAATAAGTGTTGATTTGTGAAGGACAGGTGTTGATTGGAGAGTTGTCTGTTCACACGTAAAACTTATATGGCTTCCAGAAAGCTGTTAAAAATTACCAGAAATGCTTCAGACTTCGTCTGATGGGTGTGCATTTAACCAAGCACTGGAATACGGTTGATTTGTGTGCAGTTTGTCATTGAAAATCGTAATCAGCTTGTAATTTTTTCAGCAATCTGCACTGATAATTCACATTTCTACATTCATTTATATAATTATGTAGCACCAAGACTATTGTTTCAGTTATGTGGCATTATTGTGTGCATGTAAACATACGTAAATATGACAAACTGAATGCAATCAAAGTATATCTTACTGAAATGTGCTATTTTGGTTTAAAGTGCAAATTTTAAACAAACTAATGTTTACTCCTCTTCTGCTGAAAAATAATGAAAAGTATTTGGCCTGAAAACAACATGCTGATTCCCCATGAAACTACATATACACCGACACATGCGCCCCACAACAATATATTAGGCTAAACTGTAATGTTCAATTTCATTGTTTTTCCAGCATCCGATTGAGCTGAATTTATTTTATATATTGCATTTCATACCAGCTTTTCTCTATGTTTAGTGTGTTTTCATTTAGTTTCTTATCCATGTTTTTTTTTTTTAGTTTTTCTTTGTTTCTTTTGAGGTGAGATTCTCAAGAGCTTCTCTTGCTTTTTAATCTCACTTTCACTAATTTAAAGTTTCTCTTCTTCCCTGTGATTCATCGTTTCCTGTGCATTATGGAACGAAACTAAATTAAATGAGAAGAATAGCAAAAAGCATTCAGCTCTCTGCTATACATCTCTTGACTAGCCAAATTTCCTCATTAGACAACAGAGCCCTGATGTGTATTAAACAGATACTCTAGCTCTTTTGAGGACAAAGTGATTTCTATGAGCACCCTCCTATTTAAGAATGTAATAATGTGCTGCATTGTGAATTGTCTCTCTACCAAACTCAACATACTTTTTGGAGAATTGGTGTGTGTGGTTGTTTTTCCACTCCTTTTCATGGCTCCCAAATGCAATGTCCCCTTCAACAGTGCCAGCTCCATCATTGCCCTTTTAACGAGGTGATATCCAGACACATGGGAGCAGATGTTGCAAAGAAAACACATTGTGACGTGATTGTGATCGATGCGCACCTCCCACCATATCCAGTGCATAATTTGGCGGATGGCATCAGGATAACAACCTGCATTATGTGGAGACAGCTGTCGCCATGGCGCCTGGGCAGCCATTGCATTGGCTCCCACCTTATTTCAGGCAGAGGCGGGGAAGCCAATTAGAGTGATTTACAGCTTGCTTGTGTCGTCACCACCTTGAAACCTGTGTCTCGGTCCAGCTAAAGAAAATGCATGGCTACCTGGGTGGTAATAAGGAGGGCATGCTGAAGAGAGCAGCAGAGTTGTTTATTGGTGAAATGTAATGTAATCCTGTTCCCGATGGGAGTTAATGTTAGCGTGTCCTTTAAGTGAAGTTAATGGTATTTTTTAGGGGTCATAAGGATAGTGTTTTCCTCTATGGATTATTATGTATTGTATAGCCTACATTTTTTTTAGAAATGTACCTGTAGAAATTGTCTATATGCATCTAATTCAGTCTTGAATGCACTGTTTTGTGATTATATTGGAGAATAGGATTTATTTTTCAGGACACTGTATGTCACATTTTACCTATGTAAAATAATAATTGCATGGTTTATGTTTAATTTCATTGTTTTATATATTTTCTACAGGGCATGCATCACGCACCATAGCCATAGATAGTACGTTTTCATACGTGTCTCTTTGTTTTGCATCATTTTTATTATAACCTATGTTTTGCAAACAGTTGTGACCTATGTGTCATTATTATGCGACCCCAAATTCCTTTGTAGATTCCTTTGAAACATACATTACCGACGAGGATAGCGCTGTCTGATTTCAAATGTGGAAACCTGAATGATGTAAATGAGCAGCGGTAGAAGGTTTGAAGGGGGGTTTTTTGCGGTAATGAATCCGACACACAGTATTTGATGAAATGGTGAGGCAGATGGAAGCTGGGAGATGGCGAGACCGTGCGAAATACAGGAAGGGGACTTGTGATTGACTGTCACTAGTAATCCGAGCATGCTTTGAAGTGTAAAATGATGATGGGGATACAGTTTGAATGTATTTGCACTTCCATCAGCAGCTTGAGAGGTCGCAGGAACGGCACCTCTCACTGCGAGAGAAAGGTTCAGTCAAAATTCAGACGCTTGTGCAGCTATAAGATTCACAGAACATGATATAGCTCTTTGTGGCTGATGTTAGAAGAAGCCTGTTTTTATGTGGAGACTTGGAGGCTACACTCACCAGTTATTTACATATTGTTATGGTCTGCAATGTTCATTTTTAAATGCAACCTTTACCACATTTTAAAACAATTCTTATACAGTTGAGACTAAGTGAGACACTAATAAACCTGCGGGGTAAATAAGGAAACAGAGTGTTACTTAATGCCATTAATTAACACGACTGAAGTTGCTGTGAACTTCTATCTTGCTGGATTGAGAGGCGACAGGCGAGCAGCGACGCCCCAGCCCGGTAGGTGGCGCTAACAAAATAAGTTAGGCTGGTTTATCCCCCGACACCAAAAAAGAAGAAGAAGAAGAAGAAGAAGAAGAAGAAGTCGTCGCTTGCTAACGACCTATTTTCCCCGCGACATTCAACTTTAGCTAGTGAGCTCACGAGTAAACAGCTTTCTGGACAGGGACAGGGACAGGTGTAGGTGTATTCCTCCGCGAAAATGCTCAAAAAGAAATGCAGCAGCGCGGAAAAGAAAAGGAAACACTCCCAGTGTGAAGAGCGACACGAGAGCAATAAACGCAAAAGTACGGAGTCCAGCATGGAGGTGAGCTGTGCTAGCTGCTGTGAAGCTAATGCTGTGTTTTGTTTATGCTCCAGCGTATGTGCGCTGCTGTAACGTTAGCTGTACTCAGAGTCCACAGACACACAGTGTACGGAGGTCAGCAGTTTCCCAAACCCCCAGTAAAGATTCAGTCGTAGGTGTGACTTTGGTCAAGCGGTGATGGAACAACGTAGGTTAATAAAAGTCCTAATGCAAGTGTGTATGTGTCTGCTTGTTGCTCTATACTGCGACAATAGGCAGGTAGCCATTGTATTTTAACATAACAACGATGATTTTCCTACTCTTAAACTTGACTCTTGATGCTGCCAGTACATAAAACACACTGCGAGCTGGCTTGGTGTTCTGTTAGCCAAGGGTTGTGGGTCGTTATAGACAGGGAGTGAGGGTATGGTTGGCAGTCTGTTGTCAGAGAGATCCTAGAAATGTCCAACATGGAGCATATGAAGTAATCTAGGTTGTTATGTCTAAAGTTAGACTTTGGCTCAGTTATCTTTTAAATCAAGTTCGCTGTATACATTTTCAATAGTGTGCATTAATGGCAACAGTAAATGACAGTGATTTGTTGTACTACAAAGCTTTACATTTCACTGAAAATGAAATAGTTATGGCTTTTACCCCATGCATAGTATTTGAGTAAGTGAAATATAAAACAAACAAAACAAATATGTGGGTGAATCAAGAGTTCTCTAAAATGATCTCCACAAAAACTAAACCTTGTAACATTCATAAAGGATTGGGTTGTCTTATTGTAGTCATTATAGCTCGATATACCTAAAAGATTGTCAACAGTGTAGGTTGTAGCTGTCGTGCATATACTGTGTTTTGCAATTTAAGGCATTTGATAACCCAAACCTGTGTAATGGATCACAATTTAAAAGTTCTTAGGATTACTTAATGTCTTTTTGAACATGGGGAAACCTCTTTCACCATATAATGAATGCAAAGATGTAAAATAGTTTTGACACAGAGCACAAGTCTATGTATTGGTGGACTTACTGTCGCGTTCCTTGTAAAAGTAGCACACAAATTTAAACTTGAAACAAAAATGTGACAATATACAATATTATCATAGCGATAAATAACACTCAAATAAGTTTATTGTGGTGAATTTTCATTATTGAGATAATCATGAGTATCCTCACTTGAGTGACTTGAAAGATCTGTTTAGCTCGCTAACATGCAGTCCTATATGGATTTCCTGATTTATTTTGAATTGTCACAAAGGGCAACTTGCATCTTTTTCAGTCATTCCATAATCCAACTCAGCTTGGTTATTGTATCCCCCACAAAGAAAGTTAAACCGGCTGTGGCTATCTGAAGTGCACTAAAAACATTTGTTTCTTAACAAAAGTGATTCCAATAGGTTTCAATTCATTTCAATTTTATTTGTATAGCGCCAATTCATAACAGAAGTTATCTCAGGACACTTTTCAAATAGAGTGCCAACAGTGGCCTAACAGTGTTCAATGAAAAGCTTTTCATTGCTTCATTTTAGTCACACTTGCAGACTTTTTCAAGGCCTCCAGCCACTGTGTCTCGGTAACATATTGGTTTCCTAAAGCAGGACTCCAAGGAAGAACTCGCTGACGCTGAGCTGGACAGGATTGGCAGTGACATTGAGGACGGGGGACTTGACCTCAGCCTGCCTTTCCAGCCCATCACTGCTTATGTCACTGACAAGCGGGAGATGCTGGAGCAGTGTTTCCACGTGCTGGGGGACAAGAAGTTACAAAAAATGCTGCCGGATGAACTCAAGGTAGCTGGATGATCATATACAATCCCTGTTATTTAATTAGAAACAATAAAAGCAATCTTCGTATGCCTGCGATACATCAGGCTCAATGTAAATATCAGTTTTAAATCAAAGTTTTGATCTCAGTGTTTGAAATGTTTGCACACTTCAGACCCATATGTTTTTCATATGAAACTTTGTAATTGTTGATCAAAGGGCATTTATCAGCCTCATTTCACCTTCGCCTAATTTGCCATCATGCTGTATTTTTGCTGGCATTACTTTATGATTTTTACGCTTGCGTACATTTTGTGCATTGCCAAGTGTTGTCTTCCAACATAAATGGCCATATTTTGTGCTGTTGGCTATATTCCAACAGCACCAGCTTTGGCTGAAAAAAAGCAACAACCCCTTGAGCAATAGTGATCATTGCATGAAAAGGTTTGTTCCATCTTTTTGTAGGCATGTATTGTATTATGGTGCACATAATTAAGTTATGTTTTCTTATTTCATTGCAACTGATTGAAAGTCACATTAACCATGTTTTACTTTTACAGATAACTTCAAAAATTACTTTTGTTTAGATAGAAAATTGCTGCAGTCCCTGTTATTTTGAATACGGTGTGTAGGGTTCTTATCTATAGCTATACATTAGCTATGGAGCTGTATAGTAAAATTGAAAAGTAAAGTTAAAAACAAACCTCCTTTTGTGGCCAACTCTAGAAAGTGTATGGTAATTCTGAATTTAAAAAGTGATAACATGTCTCATACAGATAAGGCCATAGGCTTCTGCTGTTTGCTTGGGTGGCTTTTAAAGCAACCCATCGTCAAAGATACTATTTAAACACATTATCATCCACAGGACTGCAGTTTAGAGGAAATCAAAAAGCTGTGCTGGGAGCAACTGGAGCCGATCTCTGAGAAAAATCTCACTCACATCTTAGCAGGTAAGACTTAAAGACTTTTTTTTTTTTTTTTTTGCAGCTATGTGCTTTCTGGACTTAAAACAATCTAGTATTGCAAACAAAGCATTTTCTTTTGCTTAAAGCTGCTTTGTGTCTAGGGGAAGAACTGACATCTGGAAATGGTGATGAACACACAGAAGAGACCTTGGAAAGCCAGTGAGTGAACAGTTTGACAGAGTATTCAGGGTACAGTTTCAGTATAAAGGTAGAGTGTGTTATCATGCTTTTCTCATACTTTTATGTGTTTTTATTCCATTTTCCCCATCAAGGCAAGAAAATAATGTTGATTCTACATCTTGTCACAAAGAAACTGCAAAAACTGAGGACCCTAAGCAAGGTGATTAATAATTAATGAGCCCAGAGAACATCCTCAGTCAAAGATTTCAAGACATATAAAATCTCTAATAAAAGGACCATTTTACGTCTAAAATGTAATATCATTTTCTTTGCAGAGGGTGGTGGTTCAGGCGAGGAGAGTGACGTCCTGAGCATAAACGCGGACACTTATGATAGTGACATAGAGGGACCCAAAGAGGAGCAGACTGTTAAAGCCGTGGAGGGCTCGGTGAAGGTAGCAGACAGCAGCAGGGAAGGCACCGACCCACCTGTAAACCCCGACACAGTAAATCCTGAACCTCCCACGGCCTCTCAACCACCGGAAGCAAAGAAAGACATCCAAAGCGACATAGACAAAAGCGTCAGCGAAATCTTAGCGTTTTCGGACACCTCGAGCAAAGAGGCGGCTAAAGAGGTAGAGAGCGTCCCTCCGCTGACGACGGATGTCAGTTCACCTGTTCAGGACGGACCTGTTTCGAGTCGCGTGCCTGGAACGTGTCAGCCGTCTATTCAGCAGCTGGAGCTTCTGGAGTTGGAAATGAGGGCGAGAGCCATCAAGGCCCTGATGAAAGCTAGTGATGGGAAAAAGCCCAGTGTAACAAAAAATGTTTAATACGTTTTATTTGTTTTTCTTGTTATGGTTTAATGGTTTATACTAAATAATTCAGCTACTTTTAACCCCTAGTTTATTGTTCTTGTACCATTCAAACCATGTTCTTATTACTCCATATTGGAGTGATTTTACCAATTATTTAATGTAAAATCCAACATATAAAACCTGTCCTACACCTACTGAATGAATGTTTTCTGGGGGGGATTAACGTAATGGTCTTTTGAAATGTAATGTTCTCTCTGGTCACTAGATGGCAGTGTTAACCTGCCCAACACAGCCATGGTGATGTGTCTGATCTCTGCAGAGGAGAGAGGGATGATTTATTTGCTCACATTGCAGTCAGAAGGCAGCATGAAAGTCAGTTTTTTTAGTAATAATGTTATTTAGTAATGCGGTTATGGTAAAAAAAAAAAAATGGTGATGCAAGTTCTCCTTGAGTCAATTTGAGGATTTGAGAATATCAGAAAGATATGGTTTATATGTAGGCTGGAATTTGCCAGGCAAAGTAGGTGGCAGCAGTTTTGTACTGTGTTTTACAGTAGACACACCTGAGATATTTCTTCACTGAACACCTGTCTGACTTGTCAGGCTGAAATATGTAATTCCATGTACTGTCATCTCTAAACACCAGGTTAAATGGATATCTGATCGTCAAAGAGAACAAAAAAAGTTCCCATGAGATTACAGAGAAACCCCAAGAATGAAATAAGTCTAAGATAATTAGACCCACTGTCCTGACCTATACATCACGTTAAAAGAACCTGTCAGCTTAATCCACCAGAGTAACTTTAAAGTCTTTTTTTTTTTTTTGCTTTTTGTACCTCAATGTAGCAGCTAGAATTAATGGCATCCTTTCGCCTTATATTCTAGTGTTCTTGCTATAATTTATTCTGAAGCTGCTTTGTTCTTGTATAAACTGTAAGGTTGCGGTGTGTGTGCAATTACATGCAGATGCTGAGCAAAACAGCTCTCTACCCCACCACCCCGAAGGAGACAATGAAATGTACGATAAGAAGCCAGTAGCCTCCTGGGTATTTGCATTTAAAAGGGTTATTTCATGGGAGGAATGAGGGTGGGGAGGGTTAAATTCATTCTCTATGCATTTATGTGCAGGTATCTTTGTACTCATTGATGATTTGAAGAGGAAAACGTCCACTTTAGTAAAAAGGGATACAACGATTCTAAAGTGCTCGTGCTGACTATGATTGGTGAGTATTTATCGGTGTCATTTTACTGCTATTAGAATGCCAATTATGATTTAGTGTGAGCAGATAAATGGCTTTTTAAGCAGACCTCCGAATGAGTAGGCTGTAAAATGTATTGATGGAGGTGAGATGACACTGTTTTGTTGAGGGAGTACTTTTTGATTTCAAAAGAGCATTTATCAAACATGTTAAGATACTGAGGTATGATGCCTCCATGAATGGTGCTATTATGGAAGTCAAAAGCGAGGTTGTGCCAAACATTCTTGTGCCCACCGGTTTGTGTGTTTAATAGCCGCACCTGTCATTTTTCTCAGCTTTGTGACCAAGCCTCTGGTTAGCGATGTTCATTACACTATTGTCCTCAAAAATTACTTTAGGCTGGTTTAGCCTCTCAACTTTATGTTTAACTTTTTGTATGTAACGATCTCTAAAAACTTCCCTCACTATTGTATTTTTTAAAATTAAAATTCACACCAGGTACTTTACTCATCTACTAAATGTTAAAAATTGATACGGTTAGGTGCTGTGATAGATACTTAATGGGCGACTAGAAATGTCAGTGTTCTGCAATCCCTTTCTCTCCCTGTAGGACATCTTCATCAGTTTCAAAGTCTGCAAGGTCAAGACTTCTTGATGGACTCCCTAAAATGTTCAGTGGAAAGACTTAGTTTAAACGAAAGAAGGGGTTGTGCATTTATTGTACTGCAAGTTCACTTTGTTGCTCCTTAAAGGTCCAGTGTGTAACATTTAGGAGGTTCTATTGGCAGAAATGTAATATAATATTCATAGAATGAGCCCTTTTTATATACAGGGGGACCAGGTCCTCTTCTACGGAGACCGCCATGTTGAACCGCCATGCTTGTAGACTAGCCCAAAACGGACAAACCAAACACTGGCTCTAGATAGGGTCTTTAATGCTTTTTGAGAGTTTCGTCGCCAGCGTAGTTTCTCCTACTTGCTTGGGTTATAATCTGAACTACACAGCTAGATGCCATTAATCCTACACACTGGTCCTTTAAAGTGTTTTGTAGGAATACGCTCCAGTTGTGACTTGCTTCAAATACAAAAACAGATGCAGAAAGCAAAAGCACAAACAATTACGGGTGCACACTTGCATGGCATGACTTTTTAGCAACTCTGAACAACATGGCTCTGGCGATGGCGTTCTCAGTTTTTGTCTGTTGGTGCAACACTTTGGTCCAGAATGAAATATTTCATCAATTACTGAATATATTTACATTAAAATGTCATTACAGACATCCATGGTCCTCCACAGTATGAAAAATGTGAGCCTCTTTTTCATATAGCGCTGTTACAAACACCAACAATTTCCACTTGTCCTAACACTTTAGTTCTTGGCACCAGTTTAACATGGAAAATGGATAGCCCAGTTCCTTTCAGCCTCAGCTGTACTGCAAGCTACATATTAGCATGTGCATGCAAACATGTTTGGAGTTACCTGCTAACTGTTCTGGAATGTTGATTAGCTTAGCTGTACTTCTAGGCTGATAACGTTGTGTTCTTGACACTGAAATACTTCGATCATAGCATTTACATGCAAAACATTAAGGTTTTGAATTACATCCTAGCTGTAGTAACATGCTAACTGTCGTATCCCAGACCTGCAACAACTAATTGATTAGCAGATGATAATTGATTAAAGTAATTTAATAATAATAAATAAATTTTTTTTAGCCTCTCTAAATGGATATTTCATGCTTTTCTTTGGTTTTGCACCTTATTAAACTGAATTTTTGGGGGGGTTTAGACTGAACAAGACTTTTTAAAACCATCTCCCTGGAAGTAAATGTTATTTTTACTCAAATGTTTTGAAACGGATTACTTTAAAGATTTTAAGTAACACAAACTCAATTTTTTAAGTCGAAAACATTCTTGATTAAGCAGGTGTTACTAGTGATTTTAAGTGACGCTAACTTTTTGTAAGTTACACAAGCATTCCTGATTGAGTACGTGTGGCTAGGTATTTTGTTTTCACAGTACAGAAATACATAATATATTAAAATTACAAAAAGAATTCAGTGTCAATTAAAAGAGTTTTTTTTTTTAATTTACAAAATTGATGGTTTTGTTTGATTTACTTAAAAGTTTTGATGTAATCAGTTTCTATTAACTTATTTGGTTTTACAATAGCAATGTAGATTTGGTGTGCATTTCTCTTTATTTTCTGCTTTGTAGCCACTGGAAATGGTAAAAGTAGAAGCTTCTTTGTGAAATATATAACCTGTCAGTCCAATATAAAATGCTAGATGTTACTGTGGTACTACAGAAAACATTGTGGGATTTAAAAAAAGATATTGAAAAATTTCATTTTTTTAAAAGTACCTGTATGCATAAATAAAATGATTCTCTTCAAATGTCCTATGTAGCGTCTCGGTTCTTTCTGCAGCTAGGAATTAAATTGAACTAACAGCTCATGCTGACAGGCAATAAATAACTTAGCACCTCTGTATGACTAAATGAATTGATTTCCCCAAGCAATGACTCAGCAGACACATTTCATTTACTTCAAGTTTCAGACAGAATTTTTTTTTAACAAAGCAGGAGAAGAGGTGTTTAATGTTAAATGTAGTTTGTTTTGATTACATTTCTATTTCTATAATAGTGCTAATATATTGTTGTCTTGGGCAATAAACTGCCAGACTGCCATTTTAAAGACTGTAGAAGATGTGAGCATATCATAATTATATTTAGTAGTGAGATTACTTGAGAGATGGTGGCTAGATAACATAACTTGTCATTGAATCTGTCTTCATTTCTGGCCTTGATTCTTCTATATTTTCTATTCTAGAGGTATATAATTTGAATAGTGGCTCACTGTAGTTATTTTGGAAAAATGGATCCTTCTGTTACCTTGAATGGGAAAGAGTAACAATTGTTGTAGTTCCGTCTCAGGTGTGCTGCGCATCTGTTCTCTATTCACTTCATTTGCGTGCATAAATGCTTGGCTTTTTTCTCAAAGAGGCATAAGCTTGGCTGAACCCTTTTTGAGAAATTTGAAGTGGGTGATTGTAAGTTTGGTGCTATTCAAAAGAGAAGAGCTCCCTTTTTTTAGTCACACTACAGAATCCCTGAAAGAGATTTGAACATTTGATATTCCACTCCAGTGTAGTATCTGCATTTTGAGAAAATTCCTCCCCTCCACTGACTCCTCTGACATCTGACTTTCAGATTCCATGCATGCTCTCTCCGTGTGGGTTTTTCGCCCCCTCAACTTCGGGGTCTGCATTTAAATGGTGCATTAATACCATCAAACTGCCATTGAAATTCTAGTGTGTAGACCAGCAAGCCAATAAAGCAAAAATGCTTTTGAAGGATATCGGAGACATCAGGCAGGATGGATGACCTCGCACAATCAAATCAGCATAATCAAATGAAATATCACAATATTACATCAAAGCCAACTCCCACCGCGACAGCAACTGCAACACGATCAACAAGCTCAATCCTAGGGGTATCGATGCTTTCTCACAGAAATATTGTGGTGGATGGCCTGAAATGAATATATTTTACAGCTAATAGAGTAGGCTTTGTGTAAATCCGCAATATTGTGTGGCTTTTAAATGTTCATGTGAGCTATGGTTAATCTTTGATCAGTAAACATGACTGATTCCCACTGAAATGAGTATGCAGACTGCAACCCTAATCTATTATAGTATGCAAAGATTTAGCTCTCCTTTGAGAATTAAGGATGATAGCACCCAAGATAATTATGTGAGCATCGGTTTATATTTCTTTACACAAAATAGTCTGAAGCTAATTTGAGCATAATAACTCATGCTCATGTCAAATAAAATTACATTTGATGATTGATATATTGCTTCTAGTTTGGTTATATGTTTTTTAATTTCACAAATGTGCACTGATTCTACCATAAGAGTGACTTCAATTTGACTCATATGCCATGCAAGGCAATTACAAAATATCCAAACAGAACTACACAACATTTTTTGCAA